CCCCAGGCAGCATTTTGCCCCTTTTTAAACACATTCCACAGAGGAATGTGGCTGAGGGGCTCAGCCGCGCCCTGTGGTGAGGGAGCTGCGGAACCGCCTGGAACCACCCAGAACCGTCCGGAACCGGCTCTGTCCAGCACAGGGCAGCCCCGCCCCACCTCAAAGGGCCCTGCAGCCCCTCTGCCTGCCCCTTGCCCACTGACAAACGCATTAAGAGCCTGAGGTGGGATTTTAAAAGCATCAAGTTGCGTTCCTGTGAATTTGTGCCTAACTATCCTCTTACTGAGAAGAGTCCAAACTCTAAAAATTATCCCAGCACCTGAAGGATCTGCTTCTGCACAAGTCTGAGGCTTGCTCACGTATTTTTAACTAAAAGCTGTTCCCATTTCCTCAGCTTTACTCGAGGGCAAGAGAACTGTCCTTGGATTCACAGTGGGATAACAAACCAGAATTTCATCAGCCCGTTTGCCGTTTCATTGAATTTTGCTGAAAGCAAGAGGGATTATTAAAAAAAAAAAAAAAAAAAGAAACAAAAAGCTCTTTCCCCTCAGATACTGCAATCCCTCCAGACAAACCTATCTCAGTCTGTCATGTTGCAGACCCCTGCTTGCAAAGTCTTACGCTGCAGCAGAAGCAGGGAAGGGGGAAACACAGAATGTGGGAGCAGCAGCAGTTTAAAACAATTTCACAGTACTCGAACCACGCTGCCCTGAGCCACGGCGGCTCTGCGAGGCCAGGAACCGCTCACAGAAAGGGTCTCGTGCTCGCGGGAGGATTTCGATGGAAGGCTCTCCCTTAGCAAGGCCTTCCTGGCATAGAGCCACCCGTTGCAATTTATGTTGGTGATAGGACAGGCATTTTAACAGATCCACCACAATCTCCTAAAGCTAGCAACCCACAAAAAAGACAAAATACCCCTGTCACCACAAATGTGTGAAGTTGAAGCTCTCTGTACTAATCACTGTATACACAGCAGCGTTGATGAATTATGAGTGGATTCTCTTTCAACTTATTTTTTTCCTCTCTTTAAAAAAAAAAAAAAAAACACAACGCAAAACAATCAAACTGGGTTTTCTGAAGGTACCTTGTTATATTGAATAAACATGTCCTCGCAGTCAAAATCTGCTGATGATCTACTGTCGTTAATAGGTTAAAACTGGAAGAATTTGGCATCACTCTGAGAAATTAATTATGTCAGGAGTAAAAAATAATAATAGAAAAAAAAGCCTAACAACTATGATAAAGTCATCACCTAAAAACAAATGTCCTGGTTCAGAGCTATAGCATCACCCAGCCAAACACCACAGGTCACACTCAAAAACAGGTCACGCTGTGCTGTGCTTCAAAAAGAGGGGTGAAGCTGGCTGGGAGTACACTCCTTCCACCTTGCTGCTCAGCATTCACCAACCTTGAGATTCCTGCACTGCTGCCATCTGCATGCATTGCAGAAATTCAAAGACCACATGCAGATTCAACATAAGGAATCAGGAGAAGTACTTGGATCTATATTCTATATTCCCTTGGAGTTATGAATTTTACACTTTTAGACCTTTTATATTTTGCACATCCATTGACTTTGCTTTATGAAACCCTGCAATGTTTTCCAACAAGGGCAAAAGCAGAGTGGTTTGAAAAAGGGAAACTTTTCTTACCATATCTCATCCAAAAGCACTGATGCTTTCAAATCCCAATTCAACCACAGAAACAAGAGCATTTGATGAGGTTAATAGCAAGCAGAGGGAAAGAAAATGAAAAGACTCTGAGAAGTACTGATATGTAGGAGAGAAATTAGAAGTGGGTGGAAGGAGATGAAGTGATCATAAGGATAGAGAGCATTGAAGATTACTTAGACCAAAGGCCAACAGAGATGAAGCTGAAGCCAATTGTCAAGAGAGTTGAAGAGAAACGTAGCCTTAGATAAAATCCCTAATCTGACGTTAGGGGTAAATGTGAACTTTATCAGAATGATGATGCCTCCTGGGCTGGGATGACCAGAGAACATTGCACAGGATTGCATTGCGTTCCCAGTCATTCTCACAATGCCCCTCACTGGGAACGTTTGCTTCCTTAAACTCATGTGGCTTCTAGGGAAAAGCCAAAGCAGATACCCAAAATCTATGCTTCTTTAGTTGCCTCTGCCAGGCTCCAGTAGCAGCTACATAGCCAAAGGAGCAAGCCTTGGCACTGATGACATTTTCCTGCCATGCTTAAGGAGTTTAACTAGACTGTAGGCTCTTCAGAGCAATGAGCGCTTGTTTGCTCTGTGTCTGTGCAGCATCGTACAGCACTTGCAACAAAATGATTCATGTTTGGTGCTCAAGGTGCTAGAGAAGTTCAAAAAAATAATAATAGTAACTGTTCAGCTATAGCCTTAATGTAAAATTGTGGTAATGCTACACCAGACATGACTAGTGATTGTGTCACATTGTCAAGAACTCAACGGGCAAATAAAACAATGATCTAATATTTATTTACATGAAGGCAGAGTTCTTCATTTATTGATGCATATATGGCTCTTTTGATGTTCCTAGTCATGCTCCAGCTGCCAAATGAACATCTTTATTGTGCTTAATATGCCATATGGTATGAGACAGGCTCCAAAACTCCATGCAAGCAAAATGAAAATACTGCCAAGCATCTCCCAATAAAAAACAACACGCATGTCACTCATCGCCCTCTATTCATTTCTCCATCTCCTATACTAAACTTTACTCCTTTCTATAATGCAGCTCATTGACATGTGAATTGCACAGAATGTTTTTGTCCACCAAGCAATATCCATTATTAGTAATATTTGCATGCATGCCAAGGTGTTAATTGCTGACTTTGAGTTTGTTATCATCGAAGGAATTACCCTGTTGGTTCAAAGATTCTCGTGCAAGTCCGTTACTGTAATGCTGGAAAACTGAAGCTGAGATTGGAAATATTACACCCTTTACACATCTCTGCAAGAAAACTCAGCTTCCTGGGATTTATCATTCCGGTGCATCCCATTCTGACTGTTATGATATGCCACATATGTGAGATTTCTACACAACTGTGATATTTATGATAATGAAACACAGATGTTTTAAAGAATTACATTTTAAAACACTGAAAAGCTTAGCAGTTGGATTTCTTGTAATCTATATAAAAAGAAAACAAGCTGAAATAGATTTCTTATGTTTCAAAGAACATCAGGCTGATATATTCCTCTTCTAAAGTAATATTTTTCCAAGTTCATTTCTCATAAGTTTAATTTATTTTGAACAGAAATACAGAATTCATAA